CGCCGCCCCCCCGCTCCGGAGCGGCCACCCCCGGCGCAGGGACATCCATGGGGACAGCGCTGCGCCCTCCTGCAGCCCCAGGGATGGGACCTGATGGAGTGAGATGCCGTTAGCAAAAGTGGGGGGAGGCAGGAGGCGACGTGGGGACCTCGTGAAGAGGACATGGGGGGTAGGAGGTCACCGGGGGCTCCATGGGGACACAGCGCAGAAGGTGATCGGGGGACCCCATGGGGAGGACATGAGGCAGGACATGGCCCCATGGGGACACAATCTCCATCACAGCATGAGAGCTGCCAGGGGACTCCTTTGCAGCCAGGTTTACCCACCCTCACGAAGCGCCGTGACAGCGAAGGCTTCGCTCCAGCACCATTGCTCCCCGACCATCACGTTGTCCCCTGTATCTGGTGCTCCATGGGGGCCCAGGTGCTCTGTGGGTTGGGGACTGGATGGGCGCAGAGCTGGAGGGGACAGTGGTGGGCGGCCCCGCACGGATTTCCTCCAGCTCAGCCCCTTCTCTGCACCCAGAGGAAGCTGCGCTGTGTGCTGGGTAATAGAATGATTGCAGATATTAATTAAGGCTATTTGCTAAATGGTCTCCTGTGAGCGCTGGCGGGACTGAATCCAGCCCCGGAGCTGTGGGAGGCTGCAGGTAAATCCCGGCTTCCATGGATGCAGAGGCCCTTGGGGAGCCCTGAAGGTCAAAAGTGGCCACCAAGGAAGGGCCAAGGGACACAGGACCCTCGTTGGCCCAGGCAGCACCTGGCAGGAGGCAGCAGAGCTTTTTGTGTATTTAACAGCATTTTGGCCTCCACAAAGTCTCCCTTTCCCAAACTTCCTGAATACCGAAGCGCACTCAGGCTGCTGGTCCCGGCATAACCGAGGCTATTCTCAGCGTCCCCTCTCAAGCTCGAGCTCTGCCCTTTTAGGCTCTGGCAGCTTTCCAGGCTCTCACAACACGGGTGATCTGCAGGATCCCTCCTGCACCGGACACCGCTGAGCTGCAAGCATGCGCAGCACGAACCGGGGCAGCCAGACCCAGAGCTCTCCCTGCTGCTGCCAAAGCAACCGAGGGAGTGCTATTAAAAATACACATCCATTGCCACAGTTTTGACCCCATCCCATCCCTGCGCTGCAGGACTCGAGCTTCAGATGCTCTGCGTGGCTGAAGCAGAACCAGGCACTGGGATCTGGTCCCTTGGATCCCAGCTCCGGTCCTTCCGAAAGCCAGACCTGCCTGCTGGAATGCAGAGGAAGTTGTTGAGAGTGTGAGAGCTCCCTAGCAACAGCCCCTAGGCTGGTGATGGAGAGAAAAGACCAGGGGAAAAAAATGTGAAGGGAAAATAGGAGTGGAGAAGTGGAGGCTGAGAAGACAAGTTGCAGTGACAGCAGGTTCTGGTCATGCTGGTGCTGGGACAGGGCCGGGACAGCCAGGGCCTGCACAAAGCCACCAGGCTGTGACCATCCCAAAGGGGATGGACAGGACCATCTTCCAGAGGTGAAATGAGAGCCGGTTCCAGCAGAGCCCAGGGATCCCTGGTCCTACCCCACCAGGAGATGATGCGATTCCCTTCCTGGCACTGTGTGCGCAGCCGAAGGCTCAATCCCCCCTCATCCTCAGCAGTACCCGGGCTGAGCCCCACTGTGCTCCCCCTGAGGATGGGGATTCTCCATCCCGGGGGTCCCACAGGCACAGATGAGCTCAGGAGCCCCCCAAACAGCAGCCGCAGGACGATGCTCCTCCATAAATCAGCCAGGAAAGCCATGTGTGGGACACACTTTATTTTCCCATTAAAAAAATATGTAACAACTTCACAGTCGCCTAAGAGATATGACAGTCATCAACACCACAACGTGCAGACTACACACCGATCTGCAGCAATATTCCTGTGGGGAGCATGGGGATGGAGGGGCTGGGATGGAGAGAGGAGGGAGGAAGTTCTGCTTCTTGTGCCCGTTCCCCGTGTCCTTGCACCCTTCCCAGGGGCTCCACATGTGCAGGGCCCATCCACACCTTTCCATGGCCTCCCATGCAGGATACACCCATTCCCACAGCCGCCCCATCCTGTGCTGCACAAGGCGGAAGCGCCTCCGCACATCCCGACCCAGCGCAGCCCGTGGAGTAATCAGCGTGAGGAACCGGCGGCCCCTTCCCTGGTCCTAGGTGTCTTCCCATGTCCTCAGTGACCAGGAACCCGCCCAGGCACCCCAGATTCCACCAGGGAAGCTTAAAACAGTGTCTGGGAAGCTTAAAACAGCAGTTGGCACCAAGCCGGTGCGGGAGGGCTAAAGGTGGACAGCGAGGGGCAGCTTGCAGGGATCACCACGATGGAACCGCTGGGGCAGGACACGGAGCCTTTCAGCCTCCCCGGAGGCCTCACAAGCAATGAGAGCAAAAAAGAAAAAAAATAAATAGGTTCAAGCTTATGCTGGAAGGAAGGGGCCAGGCAGAGCTGTGAGGGAGACGGGTTAGTGGGAAGGATGGAGCCTACGGCTCCCATCCAGGGCTAAGCGAGCGGGGGGATCCAGCAGGCAGGAGAAAGAGTTTCCCCAGTGGATCTGGGCCACCAGGCACTGGGCAAAGCTCTGGGAAGCAGAATGTGTGTGGCAGGGGTGGGATACTGAGCAACAGGAGTAGAAACCACCAAGGGGAGCAGAGGCCGGATCAACCAGGCTAGCAGGAACCCCCCACCCCAGGCTCTATTTCTGCATGTCGCACTGCAGGAGGAGGACGATGGAGGGATCGCTCTTCGCTGCTTCCTTGAACTCCTCCAGGGAGATCTGGTCATCTTTGTCCTTGTCCATCTTGGTGAAGATCTTGTCAACACGCTGCTGGGGGGTCAGCCCGTCCTGGTTCATCCTCATCATGATCACGGTCCCCACCATCTTGTAGATGGCCTGTGGCAAGAGGGGCAAAGTGCCAGAGCTGGAGCCTTGGCTGGGCAGAAGGCTCCAGGGCAAGGCAGGCGCATGATTCCTACCCCTGCTGGGACCTGCTCATCCCTGGCCTGAACTGAGGGTCTGCACAACTAAACCCCTACGCACTCCCAGGCTCTTTTCTGTTAAAGTTATGGCCAGGGAAACCCATTCTAGGGTACCAGAGGGGGGCTATGTATTTTTAAAAAGCCTGGAGAAAGCAGGCTGCCTTGCTGGTTTTATGCACCGAGCTTCAAGAAGAAGCTGCAGGTCAAAGCAAGCTGCTCGACCACTTCTCCAGCCTCATCCTCGCCCAGCACCGTCAGGGCTGAGCCCACCACCGTGCCCCATGTCACCAGTACCTCAATGATCTCCAGCATCTCCAAGCGCGTGATCTTCCCGTCTCCATCCAGGTCATACATCTCAAAGGCCCAGTTGAGTTTCTGCTCAAAGGTCCCCCTGGAGGTGACAGACAGGGCACAGATGAACTCGCGGAAGTCAATGGTGCCGTCACCGTTCTTGTCGAAGGTGCGGAAAGCGTGCTGGGCGAACTTAGAAGCGTCTCCGTAGGGGAAGAACTGCAGGGAGGAGAGAAGAGAGAGATCTAAACGGGGAGGGGGAGCTCGGCGTGGAGGATGGACACCATGTCCTCAGCGCAGCAGGGACCCGGAGCGGCTCCTCGGCCCGGGAGCTCGGCACAGGGCTGGGAACACAGCAGGGACCATCCTGAAGCTGGGCCCACCTTGATGTAGAGCTGCTGGAACTCCTCCAGGTTGAGGATGCCGGTGGGACAGTCCTTGAGGAAGCCCTTGTACCACTGCTTCAGCTCCTGCTCGCTGAACTCCGTGCTCCGCACCAGGTCATCCAGCATCTCCGGCGCCAGCTTGCTGTTGTGCTTCCCCATGGCTGAGCCTGCAAGAGGAGACGCGGAGCTGATGATCGCCGGTGCCACGTGCCCACCCCATCCGTAGCCATCGGCACATGGATACGGCTGCAGAATGCCGGGATGCAGCAGCTGCAGCACCGACTTGGTGCCACGTTCATGACCCGCTTGCTGGAGCAGGACAAGGATGCATCGAAGGATGGAGAAATCTCACCGGCAGCACCAGACCCGCAGCCCCCCGGTAGTCAGAGCCACCGCGCGCCCCTCGGCGCGGACGTCCCCGCGGTGCCAGGCAAGGCAGCCGCTGCGTAGGCAGAGCGCGAATCTGCTCCGAAGACGCTCCGTGCCTGCTCCCACACAGCCTTGGCTGCCGGCCGCTGCTCCGGCGGAGCGACAGATGGTGAGCGAAGAGGATCCTGAAGCTTCTCTCCCAAGAAAGTTGGGGAGAAGTTCACCTGGAGAGCGACCAAGCCGCGTCTCCGCTCCGCACGCCTGATGTCCCGGGCACAGGGACTTGCCATTTTCCCCTGAAATCTCCTCATCAGGGGAGCCAGGGACAGGCACAAGCCCCAGCACCCAGGGGCTGCTCCTCACGCTCGTTAGCCCGGCTCTTAGTTAATGCCTCCGTCAGAGGCTGCTTCCTGCTCCACCATCCCACCAGCATCTGTCACCAGTCTGCTGCGGCGGGACGTCACCCGCTGCCTTTGGGCAACCGGAGCCAAGGAAACTTCGAGACATTGCGGAGAGCAGGGGCAAAAACCTGCCCGCTGATCCCGTCTGTACTGACACCCACCAGTCCTCCCATGCCCTGAGTAGGGCAAGGGGACAGGGATGCTTTCCGCGTCTTCCAAAGGATGGGATTTCTGGACAGTGATGGTGGTCCCTCCCCAGCGGGTACCATGCTTAAGTCTTCCGCCTGTCCCCACCGGACCAAGGATCATGTTGTCCTGCACGAGGGCTGGCGAGAGGAGGCTTTTCCCAGGTGGGAGCAGCAACCAGGACACTCTGACAGGTTCCTTCCCTGCCAGTGTTGCCTCCAACATGACCAGAGCATGAGAAGCTCCTTTGGTCCAAAGACCTCAATTCCTATTTCCAAGCAGGACACAGAGCCCAAACCAGCCTAGCTAGGCAGAGAACCAGATCCTGCCCTCGGAGATGAGGTTGGGCCATCCTTGCGGTGAAGGCTGAAGGGCAGGGAACCCGGAGCAGTGCCTGCAGCACGCACGTGGGCCGGCCACGTATGGGAGGAGACGGGATGGGGCACAGGACCCCGATCTTGCAGCAGGGAGAGGATCGGGAAGAGCGAGTTCCATCAAACCCGTGCTGGGAACGAGCGGCCCCTCTCTGCACATGGCAGGAGACCCTGGTGAGGGCAGCATGCTGGGACTGGGATGGGGATGTTGCAGGGCAGGGGAGGTTGGAATGGGGATGCTGGGACTGGGATGGGGATGTTGCAGGGCAGGGGAGGTTGGAATGGGGATGCTGGGACTGGGATGGGGATGTTGCAGGGCAGGGGAGGTTGGAATGGGGATGCTGGGACTGGGATGGGGATGTTGCAGGGCAGGGGAGGTTGGAATGGGGATGCTGGGACTGGGATGGGGATGTTGCAGGGCAGGGGAGGTTGGAATGGGGATGCTGGGACTGGGATGGGGATGTTGCAGGGCAGGGGAGGTTGGAATGGGGATGCTGGGACTGGGATGGGGATGTTGCAGGGCAGGGGAGGTTGGAATGGGGATGCTGGGACTGGGATGGGGATGTTGCAGGGCAGGGGAGGTTGGAATGGGGATGCTGGGACTGGGATGGGGATGTTGCAGGGCAGGGGAGGTTGGAATGGGGATGCTGGGACTGGGATGGGGATGTTGCAGGGCAGGGGAGGTTGGAATGGGGATGCTGGGACTGGGATGGGGATGTTGCAGGGCAGGGGAGGTTGGAATGGGGATGCTGGGACTGGGATGGGGATGTTGCGGGGCAGGGATTGGAATGGGGATGCTGATCCTGGGGTACCAAGGTGGGATGTAGAGCCAGAGGCTGGGACAGGGCTGCTGGGACAGGGACACTGTGGTGGGTTACTGGGAGCGCAGCTCCGGCAGCGGGATGCTGGGATAGGTAACGTGGGCGCAGGGGCGTCATTGCCCCAAATGTCCTTCTCCTGCTCCGTCCCCTGCTCCTTCCCTGCCTGGCGCTCAGCACCACTTGTCACCCCATCCCAGGGGCTGAGCTGCTTCGCGGTGTCTCCTCCTCCTCCTCCCCGCTCTGCCCGGATCTGCCTCCCAGCCCTGGCAGCCCCACTGCTCCCAAATCGCCCCAAGCCGCCTCCCCTGCAGGGACCAGGGGGCTGCAGGGCACCCCGTGCCAAGTATCCCAGCAAAGATCCCGGGACAGCCCCACTGTGGGGCTAAGGGCCGGGCTCGGCTGCTCCCTGCGCGGAGGGATCGCAGCGAAGCGCAGAAAAACACCCCGATTTCCAGAAATGAAGGCAAAGCGTTGCCATGGCGACCGCTGGCTGCTTTTCCCAATGACCTTGGCCATCCAGCCGCGCTGCGGATCCCGGTCCGGAGCCCATTTGCCACCGGCCACGCAGCAGCTGCCACCACCGGGGCTGGTGGGGGGGGGGTCCCATCCATCCGGCTCATCCACACGCATCTCCCTGCAAGCTGCAGGCGTCTGCACCGACTGCCCCAGCCGGAGCGCACGGGGACACTTTATAAAAGGACATCAATATTTGCAGCCATGGGGATGCGGTGCCTTCCCCATGCAGGGCGGGCAGAGCCCCCCTTGTGCTGGACCAGTCCCTGCCGTTTCTTGCGTGCTTAAGCAGAGGAGACATCAATTAGCGCCCCTGCAAACTCACCTCCCTCGGGATGCTCCGAGGGACTGAAAAATGAATGAGGGTTTAATGGAAGCAGCGCCGTGATGGAGCCTGACGAGGAGGAGAGCCCCGCGCTGCTCCCAGGCTTTTCCAGGAGTGCTGGACCGGGCAGGATGGGGGGCACTGGTGGCTGCAGTGTCCCCAGATGGGTCCCCTCTTTACAGCCATTGCAGTTTGGATGTTACCAAAGCGAAATGCGGTGCCACTTCCTGGTGACTGCAGCTGGGGGAGCCTTTGGCTCGTGGCCCTGCAGGTCGGGGTGGATCCAATGGCAGGATCATCAAATATCCTCATCACCAGCCCCCTGGGCACCGGGAAGGCACTGGGGAGCAGCCCCCGCTGTGCCCGGTGACTCTGGCTCGGGCTGAGGCCGCTGCAGCTCAGCACATGCAACGGGGTGTGCGGGAGCAGCTGGGAGAGACAGGGGAGCACCAGGCTGAGCGTGTGACGGGGACACACTGGGGACACAGGCCAGGCGGGATGCCGGGCTCCGGGGTGCCCGGGGCCAGGCTGCTCCCAGGACGGCTCCCGCTCCCTCCTTGGGGCCGCCGGCGTGCGGAGCTGCCGGGCCTCGCCGGAGCCCTGGAACGCGGATCTCCGGCACCGCTGCCGAATGCGAAGGGCTGCAGCTTCCCCCAGCGGCTACGGGCTGCAGCGGCAGCTCCCGGGGGGCTGCGCCAGGCGGGGGGACTGGGCGCCCCACGGGCCCGAGTGTGGGGCTGCAGTGCCACCAAGTGCCCCTGTTTAAGGAAGCTGCCCCGTGGGGACATTATCCCATGGGGCTGGGAAAGTGAGCGGGTCTCTGCTCTGCCACACATCAAGGTGCTTGCGCTAATTGCTGGCTATAAACAGCTCTAGGAGATGCTCAGAGCACCAGGAAACGCAGAATCGCTGCCGTTTGTCACCCCTCTTTGCCCCATTCTGCATCCTGTCCCCAACAAGGGAGGGCAGCTGCCACCCGTGACCAGGATGTTCACGCACCTGGGAGCAGCTGGCCCCGCAGCGCTGGGGAAACATGAGGTTTCTGGTCTTCTTCTCTTTGAAACCATCCGTGCCACCACTCTGGTGACTCGTCACTGTGGGGCTGGACAGCAGGGGGTTTTTAGGAAGCTGGGCTGTTATCCTGGGGGAGATGGGCCCAGGAGTCTGGGAGCTGATCCCAGAGACAGAGCTGGGGCAGGGAATGTGGCCTGGATGCATCCACGGATGTCCAAGACCCTCCACTCTGCCCATAGCTTCTCCCTTAACCTCGGCCATGGGATGTGTCCCCATGTCCCCTCGCTGCGCCTGGCCCTGCTGCTCCCCACAGCTCCTCCCAGATGTCCCCAGCCCCTCCACCACTGTCCCACTGCCTGTCCCCAGCATCTCCCCCAGTGCCACAGAGCGAAGTCCTCTTGGGTGACCATGACACCAAGGGGACCGTTCTGACGAAAAATACTCCATTTCCAGGCTCCCCCTTTCCCAGCTCCCGGGGTGCAACACCAAGGACGGGGTGCAGACGAACCCCCCCCCTCCCAAAATCCAAAGCACGGGCTCCG